TGATATTTGATTATATTTATTTGTTGTTAGTTACAAAAATTCAAATATTTAAGCTTTAATAACTTGTATTTATAAATAATTTATTTATAATCTTGAATTTTAAATAATATACATTAATATTAATATTAATAAAAGATACATTTGATACACAAGCACAGAACATAACATAACGAGACAAAAGTCACAAAACTCACTTTTAGCATGGAACAGGAACTCACCGACACCACACGAAATGGCAAAGACGATGAAGCCGCGCATGGATCGCATTTAAATCGGTAAAGACGAATTGTGAAGGAGTTTTGATTTACGAGATGCTGACTCCACACGCTAACTTAGCAAGGCTGCGAAGTTGGATATCCGATATCCATCTTTCTTTACCATACTCCTACACGAAGCAACCGTCACAATCTTCAAATCCATCATCCGCCACCAAGGGGAAGGAATCCATGGAAGATATCAAGCAAATACTGTCTTTCAAGGTCGACAAATCACAAATCAAACCAGGCGATCACATCTATTCATGGCGTAAAGCTTGGCTCTACGCTCATCACGGTCCGTCATTCCCCTAATTTCTCCCTCATTTTCTTGATTCTTTCATCTAAACCTATGTTATGCTTCCCCAGAAGGAATTATGCCTTTATCCAGATTTGCTTACTTTATGCGTATATGTTTGATAGTCTAACCATAGGTTCACCGTTCACCGGCAATTGGACTTTTGTTGATAGATTCTCAAAAGGAAACAACTTTATCGACCGATGTATTTCCAGTTTCCTATTGGGATATAGAAACTTCGTCTACGGTGTGGCATTACTTTGATAATTTATTTATTTCTACCCGAAATCATTTAAAGCATCTAGCTTCAGAATCTGTTTATTTCTGATGATTCAAGGGTAGGGTTTTTTAATCGTATTTCACTTTAGAAAAGAAAAGTGTAGTGAGCATCGTACCTTCCGTTCCACATTCTAGGCCACTTCCGGAAAATTGTATAGATGACTGTTATGTGTAATTTGCGAGTGAGAAACTCCAGAACATTTGTAAACTAATTCTGTGTTCTGAAGTTTTTTTTTTTTGGGAGAGAAAGTGAGTATTTTTAGAAGACACGTAGAGAAACCAAAAAATCTGCGTTCTTGATTTTTTTGAGAAGATAAAGAACTGTCCTGAAAAGTCTCTATAGAACTTTTCTCAAGCAACTTTGGACTGTTGAATCACAGAAATCATTGTAAACATAATAAATATGTAAAGCAATGGACTGATGGAGCCATCATTGTGATTTTTAGTTCCTCCAAGAGGAAGGTATAAGTTGATCGTTTACCAATTGGGGTATGATAAATACTTAATGCTGCTCTTGAAGCTCAAGGCAGTGCCAGGATTTAGGAGGCAACACTAATTCTTGGGGTGAGGGTTGTGATGTCTATTTAGTTGCAACTAGGGAATTCAAAGGGGCAATGATAAGGTATTTTCTGGCTCCTAAAATCCAGTTACAAAACTAGAGAGCTTACACATTGAGTTCCATGACGTGCTTGAATCGATTCTCCACCATTTAGTTTCTTTTGCTTTGTTGGGTTTTGATTTGTTCTTTTTTGTTATGCTATCATTGCTGGGGTTTGTCATAGTGCCATTTGTCTGTGGGGGTCTTCTACATTGTTTTCTTCCCCCTTCCTTCTGCCTAAGAAGTTTTGCTGATTAAAGCATATGTTTCATCCCTAAGGTTGTAGCAAATTGTGACATCTATAGGGTCCCATAGGATCATGTTCTGAAACCCATACCTATTATTTTGAGTTTCAGATAAGAAAATATCCTCCTAGGCGCCATGGTTTGTACTTGGATTTTTGCAGATGAAGATAAAGATTAGGGACACATTGGCCATAAATGTATATGGGTTAGAAGATGTACCTTATAGAGCTTGTCCTCGGTATTGTTTTTTCTGGTTTATTGAACCTAATGATGATGCTAGAAGCTTTTAATTCTTTTGACTCTTCTGTTATCCTTGTTGCAAGTGAAATTCCATTGTGCAATGTTGCTTTACAAAATAGTTTTAGATTTTTTTTGCAAGGTTACATTGAAAGAGAAGGTTTTTGGTAGTTCCGATATAATGTTTATCACTATTCATAACAGCAGATACATTCAGAATTTTAGATGCAACTGGTAACATTATTTTGTAAATGTTTTGGGTTTGAAGACCATCATGACAAATTCTCCAAGCAAATACAGGCCCGTTTCTAACATTTTTTAGGCCCTGGACGAGATGTAAAAGGGGCCCTCGACAAGTACTATATTTTTTTCAATATATTGTTTTTATCATCAAAAATAACATTGAATTCATATAAAACTGTTTTTCCGAGTATTCCTGGATGCAGAATCAATCAATACTCATTTCTAAATTAATATTATGTACTAGAACATTTTTATGTAGTATCAGTAATTTGTTTCATCGTTAAAAACATCCTATGATATACTTTTGGTACATAGAATGATATCATTTGGAGTCGCAAAGTCGATTCTTCTAATTTCCGAGTGACACTATGTAAATCAATGTAAATAGGTTGGTTTTCCATGTCATCTCATGTTAATTTTTTTAACATCATTTTAAAGTTTTATATTATGTTTTCGAATTTGGGAAGATTAACACAATTTTAAACTTTTATACTATGTTTTCGAATCTGAGAAGATTAACACCATTTTAAACTTTTATATTATGTTTTCGAATTTGGGAAGGAAAGAAAGAATGAGAAAGGAAAAGAAAAATAAAATGAAAGAAGAAAAATAAAGTTTTCTATTTCTGTTTTTAATAGACAAGAGAGAGAAAGGAAAAATAATGAAATAAAAATAAATTTTGATATAATTTTTTTCCTTTCCTTTCCCTAAAAAAATCTCGAGAACAAAATATTTTTTCTTCCCCCATTACTTTCCTCTCTTTCCTACGTAAAAGAAGACTCAAGAACATAGAGTTAGGGTTAAAACAAACTTTTCCGGAATCATCGATTATATAAATTAAAAAACTCATGTTGGTGATAGTTTGAGATCTTATTCTTCTTTTAGAGATAGAATAGTACATAAGATTTATACACTAAATATTAGATAATAAAGAACAACTATGAAAAAACAATTATAGTTTTATTATTCTAAATATAGATATAAGCTGTACCGTCTTATATGGTTGGTAATTTTTCAAAAGATGGAGGTTTTGTTAGCTAATAACAAAAAATTTATCATATTCTAAAAGTAGAATTCATGCGAGAATGGAACAATCAAAAGAGTCGATGAGAGAAAATTATGGAGAATATATCAAAGTTTTTGAAGCAAGTAGTTTTAGACGTCGGTTTTAGATTAAAAAACTTAGAAAAAATTAAATAATGTTATATAATGAACGGCAGATTAACATCTTTATGTATTTTTTTCTCCAATATATTTAATTCATACATGTTTGGGTCTTTAATAGTTAATGTAGTACAAAAATATTTTCTTGTCATATTGAATACTAATTTTTTATGTGTCTTCTATTTACTAATTCTTTTGAACTACTGTTATATATATTAAAAAAATTGGGCCCCTAAACTTTATGTGGGCCCTGGGCGTACGCCCGGCCCGCCCTCCCCCAGGGACGACCCTGAGCAAATATTGAAATTACAATAGGTATGGTTTGTTGCAAACTTCTTCACACCATTTTGACAATGTTCCTTTTTCTTACTTTTAGTTTGCAGCCATGTCTATAAAGCACCATGATATGAAATTACAGCAAGCATTACACAAGTAAATTTCTACTCCCAAGGACAAATTAAAATTGCAAGTCCACTTAATCTTCTAGTATATCTGGAAGAACACCACAAAGTTCCAATCTCAAAGCACAAGCAATGAAGCCACCATTTTTTTTTTTGCTTCAGCTGCAGTTACAAACCAAAAAATCCAAAAAAAGCGGTATAGACCCTAGTGAATTGTAGAAGCACCTTAATAAAGGAAGAAACACATTTTGCTTCTTTACATTGATTCTATGCAATAGATTCTCTACATTGATAAAGGAAGAAGCGCCTTTTGCTTCTGGTTTTGGGTCGGTTTACTTGATTGGTTACCTTCACATTGGTTCCTTCTTAGTGTTTTGCTTTCAGTTACACACTTATTGGTTATTCTCTGTGTTTCTCCCCTCCCTACACATACACACAAATTTTGGGTTAAGATTTGGCACTCACAATGTTCATCATTTTTATACTAATGAGACGAGACTAGTTTCATCTCACTGCCACTATATGCCAAAACAAAGCCAATGCTTTTCCCATTGCAAGGATCATACCGGATTTTAATGTTTTAGAGCATGGTTGGTACGTACCCCTATAGAAAGTGAGTTTAGGCTATCTTTAAAGCTGGGTATAAAGTAGTGGACTTATACGTCATATCCATGGATGATGATGATCGACATATCTCACGCACATAGTGTTGCTTATGAGGTAAGTTCTATAATGTTTGGGAGGGGCACCTTGGCAGTTTTCTATGTTGAGTGCTTATATTACCAAATATTTTGTGATTGTTTGTGACCTTGTGCTTGTTTGACTACTTATCATAATAATTTCTCTCTTTTAGATCAGTTCAGTATTTCAGTTAAAAGTTTGTGTTTAAATTCTAGAATTAAGATATGAGTTTGGTTATGCTGGAGTGGAGCATTAAGATATTATTGGAAGATAGGTGGCCCATGGGGTTCATTAAAACTGGATGGATATGCGGTAATTGAGAGACTGCAGACAAACTCTAGAGATTTTCAAGTTAAATAATAGGTAATAAACATCTGGATTTTGGTTTGGAAGATCGGACTTTTTTGGAAGATAAAGTTATATTAGATTGTGCCTTTTAGTCTTGGCCCGTATTGTTTATTGATTATTTCAAAAGCAACTTATACTGTATCTTTGGAGTGGGTGGGAAAGGTTGTTGCTTTGATCATGTAGCCTATCACAGTTTCTGTTAGTTTTGATGTTTACTGCACCAGCATAGAATGCTATCTTAATTTTGTGTTGGTTTTGCTTTATTTTGTTATTTATGCCAAATTTTTTGTCTTTTAAGGTGTTCTCCGATATTATATCCATTGTTTCTATTTGTATTTAACATTAATGCCTGGCCTTGAAGGCCATGGTAGCACTTTATATTCAATGCACTTTTTTGCAGTGCAAATGTGTTGTAACGTTAGTTTTTTGTGCACTTGAATCTCTTACGGATTTGAATTTTGAAACACTCTTCTTGGAGATGTCAGGCTACTATTATTAGCTGTGAATGCACTTTGGAATCCTACATTCAGTTCCCTATTATTTATGATATCTTTCTTTTAACTGCCTTGGAATTTGGATCCCGTTGCACGACAACTGTGCTCTGAAATCATCTACCTCTCTCTCTTCCTGTCCTTGTACCTATCTTCCAGTCACCCTGTCAACTATTATGGTTTATACTGATATCTACTACTTCCTTCAGATTATGATCTACCTTTTGGTTTGACATGTTGATCTTACACTAACACCAATTCACCAAATACCAGTTTCCATCCATTTGCAGCAGGATTTAAGAGTTTCTTGGTTAAAAATATGATTTATTATTTGACAACTCGGACTAAGGTCAAGACTTGACAGTTATTTAAGATCTCAATATTACATTAAACTCTTCTAGAAAGAGTTAAAAATCCAACTCTCAGGTCTATTTACATCTGTCATTCTTATTCCTGTTTCGAACTCCTGGCTGTATACTTGGGTGTAGGATGATGCACAGTTGGGAGTAGCCAACAAAGAATCATATTTGTTGCTCACTCAAAACTACAATAACAAAGGCTAAGTTGCATATTTGTATGAAGATTTACATTTTCTTAGGCAATTTAGTACATATTCAACACGTCAAGTGGAGACATTTGAAGTGGCATATCTACAGTCTACTATTGACTTTGTGGCATTTAGAAGAAGTAGCTTCTTGTAAACTCTACATGAGAGTTTGTTTCTCCAATTTAAGTTTACGTTTGAAAATAAATGAACAGTAGCAACTACTACATGTTAAGTTTATATTCTTGTCCCAACTGTCTCTCTCTCCCCCCACCCACATCCCCCAAAGGAATGAAATTAAAGAAAGAACACAAACGGAAGATGAAACAAAAGCAAAAGACAAAATAGGATAGAACAAGAAGATTGATACATCTATTTAATCCTCAAACAAGGTGGTGAGTTCATGGTGGTTTCCTAATATTCACATGGGCTCTATATAAACATAACAGAACACATACCATTGCCTGTATAAAGAGCGATTGACATTTGAAACCCTCATGCTTGACAATCATGTTAAATGCTCATCCTGCTTGCTATAAAGTAAATTAAACTTCATAGTAACCTAAAATAGCATGTCTTTGACATAGATCGACTCGGCTGATGCGTTTTGCTATCATGGCAGCAAAAATAGGTAAATTTAACTTATTATCCTTATTAGCTCGTGGATAATTACCACATTATCACTGAATCACCACTTAGGTTGTCTTGTTAGGTTGGATGGAGGTGGAGGTGAGAACTTGGTGGCATAGCAACACCACCATCAGAATCATCTCCATCTGTCTAAACCACCATTATGAATTTTTTTTCTTTTCTTTTGGAAGTATATAATATTTATACACGGCAAATACTCATGCACACTCCTCACCTTTTGGTGAGAGTTTGAACCCTTGGCCTCCTCGGAAGCTGCGCTTTACCGATAACTCGGGTACTGCTGGGCCAATGGCTCTTTGGTACCACTGTGGAATTTGCTGCAAAACAAACACACCCTCAGTCCCAATACCATGATTATATTCTCCCCTGGTTACAACTACCTCACTGTCTTCATCTATTCTGCCATATCCCTTTATTTATTCTTATTCTGCCAACCAAAACCCCTTTGGGAACTTCAATTTACCTGTTGGAAGAATCTTTTTGATAAACAGATTTGATTTCAATTAAAGTATTTAATGTCCCTTGAATCTTATCCCACTTTGTAGGAAGTCTATGATTTCTGTTCTGAAATGTACCACTGGAACTTTCCTATTTGGTCTTCCATTTGCTGCAGGAATATATGTTGGTGACGAAAAGGTGATCCATTTTACCCGGGGTGGGGGTCAAGAGATTGGCACTGGAACAGTGTTGGACCGCATTCTTCTAAGTTCATCCCCATCTAATTCTGGTGATCCTTGCCTGAAATGCGGTGATCAGTCAAATGCTGATGGTGTCATCGCTTCATGCTTGGACTGTTTTCTCTCTGGCGGGGACCTTTATCTGTTCAGATATTCAGTTTCTCCAATCATTTTTCTGGCCAAAGCCCGTGGTGGAACGTGCACTCTTGCCAATTGTGATCCTCCCGAGGATGTCGTTCATCGTGCTCAGTTCCTGCTTGAGAATGGCTTCGGAGGCTACAATATTTTTAAGAATAACTGTGAAGATTTCGCAATATACTGCAAGACCGGCATACTGGTATTCACGACCATCAGTGTCGGCCGAAGTGGGCAGGCGGCATCCTTTTTAGCTTTTACCAGTGCCGCTTTCTCGTCTCCACTTCGTTACATGACCTCCAGTTTCCCAGGGTTGGCAGTTGTGGGGTGTGGAATATATTGTATAAGCCGGTATGTTGCCGATATTGGGATGCGTCGTGATGTCACGAAAATTTCGGTTGAGGAGCTTGTTGGTAGCGCACGCTTAGCTGAACCCCTAGCTTTGATTGAAACAGACATGGTGCCCCATGCTTGTGTTAAGGAGCTCGAAGCTTTGATTTCGAAAGACAGCCAAGTTTCGGTCGAGCGGCTGGAGGTGGCTGAAGCCTTGGTTGAGGAGGCAAAGGTGGCTGAAGCTCCTGTTGCAACTGCTGTGGGAAGTTAGCCTTGGCATGTTGTTTGCAAATGAAACAAAAAGCCAAGTGTTTCTATCAAACTCTATATATAATATGTTAATGTTTTGAAGATGATTCGTTGTAATGGAGTCTTAAAGACTGAGGTTTGTGATTTCAATTGGATTGCTAATGTGTGAAGAAGCTTCATCGAAGGTTTGTTTTGATTATAGGTCGTAAAGTAGTGGGTGGAATTGATTTTCGACAAGTAATTGATATATGATTGGTAGAACTTAGAGAAAAGTGAATTAAAAATGTACCCAAAACATAGTTTATGAGCTTGGGAGATGTATATTTGCATGGGATCATGAATTGATGCTTAATATTTGTGGATGACATGACTTGTTAAATGGATATTTGTGGCACATCAAAGAGATGTTAATATGTAACATTAAGTAATCATTTACAATTCAATAAATATATCCAACTTTTTTTTTATTAACCTGGATATCCAACTTGTTATGCGAGCCGACTAATCCCAGGATGACCACCTGCTTTGCAGATAGCCCGAAGTCACTGTATTTGAACCTCCGTGGCCACAAGGGGATTTTTATTTCTCATTGGATTTGACCTCCTGGTACTTTTAACCTTTGGAGTCAGGCTCAAACCAATCAGGCACTACCCTTGTGGTTTATATCCAACTTTTTAAATTATTTTTCTTTTTCCTTTATTTGACATTTGAGCATAAAGAGATCGATGTAAATAAATATTACTTAGTGTAAATTACATTTTTGGTCCTTGTGCATATTTTTCGACGATAAAAGTATTTTTATGTTCTCGTAAAATGAAGTTTTTCTTGTTTGAACCTTCATCTATATAGATAAATAGATGAATACCATTTTAAATGTCTGTTTACACCTCAGTAAATTTACACACATTATATATTAATTTTTATTCATATCATTATATATTAATTTGTATTATTTTCATTTATATTTTATACATATTCATATTTATTATCATTATATAAATTATATGTATAATATTTAAATTCTATCATAATTATTTTTAATAATTTTAAGATGGTGTAATCCAAAAGTTAATTTTTATAAACACTTAATTAGTTAATAATGAGTGAGAGATTTACAATATATATTTGTATATTGAATTTGAATAAGGCAAAACTTTAGAAAGTCCAACGAACAGTTCCGTCTTGAATTATTATTAAGTCCTAAACTTTTTTTGAACTAATAAACTATTTAACTTTTTTTTAATTTTGAATGGTTAAGTCGTTGCACATTTTTTTTTAAGTAAATGGAACTGTTAAAAATTGGTTACTTACAGTATTTTAATCAAAAAATGCTACATGTCATGGTTTGCTTGCCTCACCAATCAAATACATAGGAAAAAAAAATGATTTTTAAGGCCATGCTTGACAAACTAACTGATAACTAATAAACTAGTTGATTACTGATAAGCTACTTGGTAGATGATAAGCTAACTGGTTAGCAAATCGTGTGTGATAAAAACTAACTTATAAACATGTAAAATAACAAAAAGAACATCTTAAAAAGGTAATCAATTACAATATTCCATAATATAATTTAAACACATTTCTAAAAAACATAATATGTTAACTAATACGAAAAAGATGAAAAAAAAATAAACAATAATATAATTTGTC